AGACTGCAGCTCAGTACTCCGGAGTGCCGTGGTGGATCATCCTGGTGGCGATCCTGGCCGGGATCTTGATGCTCGCCCTATTGGTGCTTGTTCTGTGGAAGGTAAGTCAGAGCTGCCCTTTGAGTTTCATGATAAAACTAGTTTAGCTTTCAAAACAAAACAAACAAACAAAACCTTTTTCCGGCTTAAACACTTTTTTTTTTACGTTCATGTCTTTGAAAATAACACTGATAATGTTTTCCTTTTCTTCGTTACGTTCCCTCCCCCAATATGTCATTAGAAAAACGTTGCAACAAAATGAAAATTTGAATAGAGTGAACACTGATGATATCTACATAGCTAGTCATGTGTCTTTGACATTTCTTAAATGTGTTGATCTTGATGTTTTATATGTCATTTAGCATGGCGAATAATTTCATCTTAGTACTTGAACATTTTCATCTAAGATCACATTCTACACCTACGTCACGTTGTTTGGTATCACATTAGTCTGGACTAATTAGCCTGATTGTAAATCCTATGTGGAAATGTTCGTGGCAGCCATTAGAGGGTCGTGATTGTGAGTCGCAGTGAACTTGACAGCAACTAACAATAGTTGGCAGCCCGAAGTAGGAGGAAAACATAGGAATGAAGGAATGAGTATCGCTCGGGATCATTGCAGCCTGCATGTGGAAGATAGGCTTGTAACAGGTGTGAATAATATGAAACAATCTTCCACTTGCTTCCTACCAGTAAATAGATGATGTGACCAAACGTGTGTCTATAAGTTTGTACTTGATGGTTTCCAGAAATGATAACTTATAGGTTTTGTATTATTTCCAGTGAGTGATGTGGATTCACACCCTTATCTGCAATCCCAAATTCCAAAAGGCGTTGGAAATGGAAAGTTCGTAGTGACTTAGAGGGCAGCACACCCTGACACGGTGTGAAGAGGGAATACATGGTCACTGTCTCTATCGATTGTCTGATACAGTGACAGTATGTGTGCGACCTACTGCTCTTCTGTAAGGCAGCAAATTCTGAGTTCTAAAACCTCTTTTACGTAGCGAGTTTCAATGAGGGATTCTGGACACAACCTGCAGTCTCCTACAACCAGACACCTCCTTATCGAGGCGTACAGTAGAGAAGATTTCAGGAAAGTCTCACCTTTAAAATACAGGCATCTGTTTTATTTTTCCAATTTCCTTTTGCCAAATCTAAGATCACTTTCTAGTGTCTTCCAAAGGTGCTTTTGAAACTTGGTACCTGCTCATGCCAAGAATCATCTGCAGAGGGGCCTCTGATCAGTAAGCCGCTCAGGAAGTGGATTTCTCTGGCAGGTGCCATCGACCAACATATCGAGAGGGCCTAAAAGTTATTTTGATATGAAAACTGAGTTCGGGGGGTTTATTTGTGGGTGAGCTTATCCGCTTTAGAGCAGTTTGTATTGCTCGTCCTTTTAACAAGGGTGTAAACATCACAATGGGGAGAGAGTCCTGTGAACAAAGTTTGTGTGTTAATCATTTCCCTGCCCCGGGACGCTGGCTTTTCTCAGCCGTTTGGTAGGACAGTCTTTAATGAGAGTGTAAACGGGACAGTGGGCAGTGATTTCTGTAAACAAGCTCTGTGTGTTGAGGCCCTAGGACACTAGTTCGTCTCTGCTATGTAGGAAGTGTGTTGGACTAGGTGATCCCAGTGGTGTATTTTGAAAGTTCTCAAGAATCCAGACTTCCAGGCAGACTATAAAATCAATCAGTTAACCTTCTGCAACCTCCCTACGAATGGGATTTTTATTCCTTTATAGACATTTTTTTTTAATTTAAACTGAACTATTTATGTATTAGAGTCATAAAATATTTGGTCAGTAAGAATGCTAGCCACATGGTCTTTAAAACAGGTTTTGCATGTTCACGTAGGCATCAAGGCTAAGCCAGCCAGGTGGGGCTTGGGTCACCATTCAGGCATAGAATGTACTGAGTGTTGGGATTCTGACTAGAATTTTGTCTGGGAGAAAGGGAAAAGTCCACTGAGCTGGGCTGACTGCCTTCGTGTTGGAGAGAAAGACGGTCATGCTCAGCGACTAAGAACATTGTCGAGTTGGCCGGCTCTGTGGTCCTGGTCTGTGTCCTCTTTAACCACCCTTTTTAGTAGCTGGCTGGATGTGGTCACTGTATCTTAAGAGTTGCAAATAGAGTCCCAGGTAAGTAGCTCTGCTAGAGCCACGTGGTGGAACGTTCCTTCCGAGTGGCAGCCCTAAACCTGCACTGCCCACGAAGGCTGCTCTTAGTGGGGCCACGTACGAAAGCTTACATTTTATTGCACTTCGATAATGTGCGTTCTCTCGTGATAGCAATTGTACAATACGACTTGATGTGCTGGAACAATAGGATAACCATGATCGGTCCCAATAAAATGGTTTTGGGGGGAAAAAGTCATTTGCATTTTAAGAGCCAGGTATAGCCAGTGGCTGCCAAACGCTGCAACACAGAGGGACGTTTCCCCGTCATGAAGTTGCCAGCTCGGGAGCAGAATGCTGGCGGGCACAGAGATACAGGGATGTTTTAAAGGGCAGTTCCGTGGCCTTAGGAGCTAGATAAAAGTAAATAGAAAATGTTCTCCACCACGGAGGGAAGGGAATTATGGTAGAAAATGGAATTATACTTTTATCCTCATTTCAAGTGACCTGACCTGAGAAACCTGGGTTCCCGCTGCTTAGAGGTTTCACGATTGTTCAGAAAATGACAGCAGTCATTCTTTCATGATGGTGTATTCGGATTTATATTGTGGTGAGTCATCTTGCCAGTCAAAAGGTCTCAAGCAGATGGCATTGGTTTCATGAAATTTACTCTGAAAGGCAGAATGCCTACAGTGGATCTATGTTTCGGTGGGTGCCAAGTCTTCCAGGCAGAAGTTGCCTATTGAGAAGGTGACTGATAAAATGGCAGAACCTTTGTCTTTTCTAACTGCGGAAGTCAAATATTTGGCCTGTTGTCCATATTCTCTTGCAAAGTGAACCCATGCGGAGTTATTCTCAGATGGGTACACATCCCTTTCTGAGAGGGTTTTTGTCCTCTGAGCCCGCTGACGAACGTCCATACTGACTTCGGACCACAGAGCCGCGGTGATCGTGTGGGGCCAAACGCGGTCACGTTAACTGTGTACTGTCCACTGCCCTGACTGCCGCCTTAGTGGTGGCTGTCCGTAGCAGCCTTTGGGGTAAACAGGCTGTCAGTAGAAAATGGGTGAAACTCTGAGGGCGTCTTTTGGTTTCTAGCTCTTACCCCCGGAACTGTGACATTGACTGAATAACCTTGCTTCCTTGTAGTGCGGCTTCTTCAAGAGAAATAAGAAAGATCATTACGATACCACATATCACAAGGCTGAGATCCATGCTCAGCCATCTGATAAGGAGAGACTTACTTCTGACGCATAGTAGTGATCTCCTTCCGTGATTGGTAATTGATTGACGTTTTTTCATCGCTCGCTGTGGGAGCTGCTGTGGTGTGGTGTGGTGGCTAACTTTAAGAGCAACTGCGTGCTGTGTATGTCCCATTAACAGATGTTTCCAGATGTCCACACTGGCTTGCCTTGCTTAGATTTATTTATTACATGTGAAAGCTCATTTCAAACCAAACCAAACCAAAAACCCTCGAAGAATCTTTGGTTTCAGGTGAGTTGTTTGGGGTTCTCCTGGTTGTCACGCTGCCCCCACTACCACGAGCATCATCTCCATCACCGGACACGCCCAAGAAGCCGTCAGGCCCCCAGGATGCCCCAGTTGCCACCTGTTGCTTTCTAGTTATGTCAGGCCCACTTGGAATTCCAACGATGCATAAGCAATCAGCGCAGACGGCTTGTCCATTTTGGAATTCCCACAAACAAGCTTGTGCTGACTGCCTAATTAACCTGCTGCATGCCAAGAGCAGTGTTTCTCTTGGCGAGCCTTTCTTACTGCCATCTTTTTTGGTCTCCTTGCTGTGAAGTGTTGCGGGGCGGGGGAGGAATGCTTGCAGTGCTTTTTGATTGTGGCTCCGAAACCATCGTTTGCCAGCTTAGCACGCACCTGCCTTTTCCTGTCGACTACGGGTCAAAGCCCATTGCAACAAAACATGACTATTGGCATGATGTAAATTGTGGCCCACCTCAGAAGGTGAGCCTTTTGGCTAAGTCACCCCCAGTGTCAAAAAAAAATGTTTTGTCCAAAAAGTGCCCTGGGCAGTTTTTATTTCACTGGTTTAATGGAGTTTGACCTTGTTTCACCATCCTGGGGATTTTATTCGACCTTGGGTCTTTGTTGATTCTGCGCTCGTGTCTTGCTTCTGTTTGTAAATCCATGGAAACAGGAATTGGTGGTGATTCCTTTTTCCATTTCTGTGGGCAGGGGGAGATAGAATTGCTCCCCGTCAGCACTTTTATGGCACTGTTAGAATGAATCCCAACATTGCCATTGCAGTTCAAGCACTATCCGTAACGTCCCTCCTTGTTGAAATCGGGCAGCAATCACATTGTACAACCCATGGGTACTTTGGTTTGTTTGCACCGAAAAATAAATGAATCAGTGTCGAAGTGGCCCTAGCATCAAATTTCTTGGTCCACTTTACCTATTGATTTGGTGATAACTATGTGCGTAATTTTATTTTGTCCCAAAGAGGTATTTTTTTAATTATTTTATTGGGGGCCTCATACAACTCTTATCACTCACTATCCATCCATCCATTGTATCAAGCAACCAAGGACATTCTCTTTTTTTCCCAAGGACATTTTTATAACAGAATGAATTCAGCATATTTTGTTCCATACAATAATAACACACGCTGTTGATATCACATGATGAGATCCAGGCTTCTTTTAGCTGCCCTGCTAAATTGAAAACACCTTTTAAAAAAGCATGTGTGTATTTAGTCTGATTCAAAAATCTAAAGCTATGTTCTTGATAACAACCAAGATTTTTTAAAAAATCAGACTGACTAATGAAATACACACGCATTTGTATCTTCACTAACAATTGAAATATGAGGAAGAAAGATAAATCCGAGGGTCTTCCGAACTTCAAGTCCTGCATGGTAGATGGCTGCCAGCGACACGGTTACTCATGACTGATCAAATAAAGCAGTTTAAGTCTCAGGAATATAAGCGTAAATCCAGGCAAAGCAAACTACCGTTTAGCTTAGTAAAGAGAGATGTGCTAATAGTTCCCAGAGCCGCAGGAAAGAGAGAATTATTCAGATCCAATAAGTTGAATATTACATCATTTAAATAATGACATGTACAGTATCTGTGACTGGATTTCCATTTTTTTAAAAAGTTGGACAGGGGCATGATAACATCTTTGGTTTACAGCCTTGAAAAAAATGCAGTGCTAGTCTCAGGCAGCGAAGCATCAACTTTGTATCCATGTAATACTGTGATGTGTCTCATGGACTCTCCAAGTTGGTAGCAAAGAGACCTCGAGGTGGCTTACCTTGGTATGAAATACAGAGGCAAGATAGAAATGGACATGTTTTAGCCTCGTGGCTGTAATTCCTTTCCATTTAGCTCGAGGGGCTGGTGTATTTTATCCTCTGGACTATTGGTTTTTGTCTTAAAAGGAAACCGTTTCCTCCTCTTTTGCGGTCAAAGCCTGAATAGACTGCGTGAGCAGTCTGCGCTTTCCGAGGTTCATTAATTGGTTTTTGCTTCTCTTTCCTTCCTGCCAGTGTGGATTCTTTCGGCGCGCTAGGTACGAAGATAGCGTTCCGGAGTACAGTGCCATAAGGATCCCTAAGGAAGAGCGAGAGATCACAGATGAAAAATACAGTAACGACACCCTTGAGAAAAAGCCATGGATCACAAAGTGGAATGAAAATGAAAGCTATTCCTAGGGGAGCCCCCCCCCCAAAACAAAAAAAGCTCCCCCAAGAACCCAAATTGTTTTCTATTTTTCACCCTTGGAACACAGAAGTTCAAATGGATTAGACGGCCCCGTGAACACCTGCCTGTTGACTTCAGACTGACTCCACACAGTACGGATGGACCTGCAGTTTGAACTGTGGCTATTGTTACGCAGCCTAAGGCTCTTGTTTTGCACAGCCAAATTTAAAGACCGATGGAACGGATCGTCGTTCTCTGCCTTCACTTAACTCTCGGGGTTGCTTTCGATTGTGGTGTGGCTGACTCACACGTGCCGGGGACAGGCCTGCCCGGTTACACTCAGGCAGTGGCCTGCAAATGGCGCCGGAGGATGGCACTCAGGTGCACCAGCCCACCGGTGGCCCTGCCTCTGCAAACACTTCTTCCCTTGGGATGGGAGAACCTGCTGCAAGGGAACTGGCCCCGTTGCGTGGCTGTGGCCAGGGCAGTTGGGTTTCCATTCACAGCGGCGCTGCTGTCAATTGTGCAATAGAAGGTGATGTGGCCACTTGCCGCCGGTTTCCGTTTCCCGGATGTGTGAGCGCTCGCTCCCCGCAGACGTGCACAGACTTGCTTCTCCTGCCTCACTAAACCACACAGGCGCAACAGATTGGAATGCGAATTATACTTGTTTGTATATATCTAGCCCTGGTATTTATTTTTACTTTTTTATTTTTGCAAGCCTTTTTGTGATTGACAGGCCAAAGATTCTCCGATTGACCCCCTTTTAGGCTAGTGTAAGCAATCCGAATTAGAACTTGGAGGTCATTGGTTTGACCTGGATTCTTTCCTGCAAGAGGAAAATGCTAGTTCTTTATGAATGTACTAGAGTGTTGTTTTTATAACTTAAACTTAACCTTTAAATTAAGTATAGCATCTCCCTCCAGGACAACCCCTCCCCCTTTCCACCAAACCCCAAATGGTTTGTTTAAAGAAATAGGATTATAACTGAGTAAGATCATTCATTCTTAGCAGAAATTGGGTATTTCAGAGTTTAGAGTCTGGCGTGTGGATTTCTGAATTCCATGCTGTAACTTTCAGGAACGAATCGGAGAGAATGGGTTTGTCGTTGAACTCCTGGGCAGTCCACTCACTGCCATTAAAGCGAGGGGATTTGAAGAGGTCCATGGAAAGATGTCATCGTCTTTCAGTCCCACCCCGCCCCCCTATAAGCTCTTTGAAGCCCTCTCGTACTGTGTGTTCAGTGTAACAGAAATGGTGAGCGCCTGTAGTGTATCCAAACCAACCCCTTTTGAGACTACTGAATATCAGATTACCAAAACAGTGATTCTCGTCGGATAAAAACCATCACGGCTCCCAAGCTTTTGAATGTTATTAGAACCGTTTAATCCGAGTGGTGTTCGGTTTTTCTGTTCTATCTTTCCCTTATCCTATAAAGTAGCCTTGGGACTACTTTAGTTAAAATCTACTGGGTTTTAAGGATTAAGAAGAAAAGAAAAGATCTTATTCTGTACATTCAGTTGAATCTGATCTTCAGTCATGCCAACAGAGCTACGTTGGCAAGCACTACATCCAGTTGAAGAGATGTGAAGGCTGCTGCTTTGTGCTAAGGACTCTGCTTTGAACCATTAAATGATCTGCGAGAACGAGGCCGCAAACAGGTGCTAACTGGTTTAGGTGAACAGTGGCCTCAGCGCCTGGATCTTTGCAAAGTCCAAACAGTTGTGGGCCACTGGTGCTTCTCAGCAGAAATCTGAACCACCCCCGGTACTGAGGACGCCATTCTGGTCGTACTTTTGGGGTTGTCATGAAAAGTCACACGTGTGCTGTGTTGTTTACAACTGTTTCTCGAAGATGGGTCAGCGCAGCCTGAAAATCTCAGTTTCTTGCTTCGGTAACTCAAAAGTCGAATGCACTGGCTTTGTGGGTTGCTAAAGAAGCTGGTGTTTTGATAGCCTCCAACGGCCTGTGTTAAAAATGAATGTCCCAGGAGGGTTGGGTGGTCCAGCGATGAAAAGACACGAATGTTTTGGCATTTGAATTTAGAATTGTTTAAAAATGTCATCTCAAGTCAAGTCACTGGTCTGTTTGCATTTGATACATTTTTATACTAACTGGCATTGTGAAATTATTTCATGATCAGAACATACCTGTGGATATTTGTGTATAAAAGCGTGAAATAAAAATTTTTAAAGAAAGTGTTCATCTAAATAATGCAACACTGTCTGTGCGGAGCGAACTCTTAAACTATATCATAAATGACAAGCCTTCTTGTTTTATCAAACCAGACTTAAAGTTCACATTCAGATTACCAAGTAGTTTGCGATGTTTCTCTTACTCTAAAAACACAAGCACTGCTGTTGAGTTGATTCCGAGACTAGAAAGCCTTACAGGGTGGCCGGGCCTCGTCTTTCTCCCAAAGAGCGGCTGGTGGGTCTGCATCACGGACTTGGCAGTTAGCAGCCCAATACTTTGACGCCCCTGGTGCCACTGGGGCTCACCTTCGTGCCCCATATCACCTTTGAACCGCCAAAGAGTACACAGCTTAGTGCAGTGTGACAGGCAGTGTTTTATTTTCTTTTGACTCAACTGTTTGTCTTTCCAGCAGTATTCCTCCTTTATAAATAAAGGAAAGTGAGCTTAGAGATGGTCCCTGAACACACCTAGCTGTTAGGTGTGGAATTGATTCGGGTGCTTCAAAGATTGGCGCCGAGGAAGGTTGGTATCGTTTACAGTGCTACCAGGGTACCAAGAGCAGAAGTCCCTGTGGCTGCCTTGCTTCTGTAAAACACATCTTGCTCGTGAGTGCAGTCTGCGACCTGTGTCGTCACATTGATTGCCAGGACTGACTGGGTGGAGTGAACCAGTGGGAAAACATTTTCTTTACCTCCTCTAGGTTGAAGTAGATCTGTGAAACTTGTCTAGCTGCTGGATTTCACAATGTAATAAGAGTCAATGAAGGCAAACAGAGCACGCTGTGGTGTAGCATGCCCTGACTTGAGTCTCTTGCCAATCTACTTTGTCTTTGCTCAGTGTGTTAAGTAACCAACTTCATGGCATTTGGTTCTTGGTGTGGAGGTGTAGGGGACATCCTAGGTATTGGCCGAGCATGGTACTTTGTTCTTCTGTTTCTCCTTATAGTGCTTGAGGGTCCTAAGAGCTTGCCAGCCACCATCCAAAGGACAATTGGTCTCCACCTGGAGCCACAGGGGAAGGGATGTTGGGAGTGAGAGGAAGAAATGGCTGGGTGGCTCCATTCCCTCCAGGACCATCTGCCTCCTTTCCCAGGAGGCAAGAAATGGACGGTGCCTACCTACCATCTCTGAATGCTTTGCTAGAAGATTCTGTAGACGAGTACTGCTCTGAAGAGGGGAAATGCAGAACTGAATTTCCAATTCTCCAGGGCTCCATGTGTTCTGGAGCCAGGGAGGCTAGGTGAATCCCAAAAATACTGCCCTGAGAATCTTTAAACCTTGACACCACAAGCTTGCCTTGAAGGCTTCTTAAAACCAAAACATAAACTGGGAGCAGGGCTTGGCATCTCATCAGACTTGATCAGAAAACATTCAAAAAAGTCATCAGACAGACCTGGAACTATTTATAGGTGTTGGTGTGGTTTGTATAAGATGTCTGTATAAGATAGGCAGGATAAACAATCCTGAGGAGAACATTTTGTAGGGGGTGGGGGGAGAGAACCAATAAACCCAGGGACAAGGGAACAACATGTGATTTAAAATTGATGGTGAGAAGGGCGTAGAATACCTGGTGGGGTTTGATCAAGTGCAATGGAGCCGAGAGGAATTACTGAGAGTCGAATGAGGGTCGAACATGTTAGTGAGACAAGAGGAAAGTAAAAGAAAGTAGAGGAAAGAACTAGGAGGCAAAGGACATTAATAGAGGTACAAATACAGGCACGTACATTGTAAATATAACAATAGGGACATAGATCTGTGTGCATAGATTTATATGTTAAGTATTAAGGCAACAGACATTGGACCTCTACTCAAGTTCTCCCTCAATGCAAGAACACTCTGTTCTAATAAACCAGCATTCTGTGATGCTCACCTTCCCAACACGGTTGCTGAAGACAAAAATAGGTGCATAAGTAAATGTGAAGAAAGCTGATGGTGCCTGGCTATTAAAAGATATAACATCTGAGGGCAAAGACTTGAAGTGGCCATCTAGCTGGGGAGCAACAAAGCCCACATGGAAGCAGCACACCAGCCTGTGTGAATATGAGGTGTCAATAGGATCGGGTATCAGGCATCAGAAGACCCAAAACAATCATATTGATGCAAATGAAGGGGTGGCAGAGTAGAGACCCAAAGCCCATCTGTAGACAATTGGACATCCCCTCACAGAAGGATCACAAGGAAGAGACAAGTCTGCCAGGGTTCAGTATAGCACCAACGAAACACCCCATTTCTCTCGTTTTTTTAATGCCCCACACACACACTACACACACACACTATCATGACTCCAATTCTACCTTAGAAATCCGGCTAGACCAGAGCATGTACAGTGGTGCAGATAAGAGCTCTGGACACATGGAATCCACAACGTATAACCCCCCCAGGAACAATAATGGGAGTAGTGATATTTTGAGGGTTGGGGGGAGAAAGGGGGAACCAATTGCAGTGATTGACATATAATTCTACCTACCCACCCAGGGTGATGAACAACAGAAACATGGGTGAAGGGAGACTGGTCGGTGTAAGATATGAAAATAAAATGTGTCAAGGATTCATGAGGGTGCAGAAGGGAGGGGGGAAATGAGCTGATACCAGGGCTCAAGTAGAAAGAAAATGTTTTGAAAAGGCTGATGGCAACCTATGTACAAATGTGTTTGACAGGATGGATGTGTGGACTGATAAAGAGCTGTAAGAGGCCCCAATAAAATGATTTTAAGAAAATCGTAGCTTCACTGGAAGGAACGTCTGCCGTAAAACTGCTGTTAAGGTCTAGGTGGGACCCAACCAGCCCCTGGGGAGCTTGGCGGGCAGTGAGTTTGTGGACGCAGAAGCAACCATCTGGGTGGGGTTGAAAGTGGGTGCACGACTGGACTAATAATCACTGGGTTGTGCATGTAGGAGTCGTTCCACTGCTGCGCTGCTGGGTGTACTCTCAAAGCATGATGCTACAGAAGCAAATTTCCCTGGTACTGCAAGGAATGTAACCAAAAACTGCCTTGAGGGCCTTTGTTGACCAAGTCCTCGGGAATCCATGAAAGAAACAAAGCTTTCCTTTAATTGACAGAGAAAAGAAGGAAAAAAAACCCCACTAAGGCTATAGCATAAATGAGATGGGACTGGAAGCCATGACAAGTCTTTTCAGCTCACTGTTTCCCAAAGTGGGTGATAGCAACACAGGGTAAGGGTGGGGGAGAGGGCCTGACCAAATCCAAAGCTCTTTTAAGATCTAGGTGGGGTCAGACCAGCCAGGCCACATGAAAGATTAATTGGGAAATTTGGTGGGTGTTAGGTTTTTCAGAGACAAGAGTCAGAGCAAGACCTTTAATGAATAGACTTAGTGAGGGAGGTGAAGTTTGTAGGGAACAGGAAATCAAAGAAAATGAGGTGAAAGGGATTTAGGATAGCCAGATAAAGAAAGGTTAGAGCTGGCCCTTTGCCTAAAGCCAGAGAATTAGCTAACCTAAAAGGTATAGAGACCACAAGAGCCGCTATTACATGAAGAGAAAATTAGGTTTGATACAGACTCACTAACAAATGACAACAGAGGAAAGAGTTAAAGGGCTCTGGTGCCACAACTACAGCTTCTGCCACGGGAGTAGGCAGAGGAAGGAACAGCTGAAAGAGAGTGGGCATTGCATGGATCAGAAGCAAGAGAACAAAGGATGTCTGGTATTTAAGTTTGGGGGCCATCTGTAAATTTTTGTAGACATGGTGAATCCCGCACATCTTTCTGGTTGGTGCAGATAACCCCAATGGGTTGGGTGCCAGCTTTGGTGGGCTGAGGTCACTTAATCGGCAGGAAGATGGGCGGAGTAAGCTTCATTTGTCAACAGAAGAAATGGCTGCTGCTGTTCTTAGTGAAGCTGCCAGCAGACCCTAGAGGGAGCAGTGAGTTTGTTCACGTAGGAGGAACCATTTGGGGGAAGAGTGCAATCCCTACACTTTATCCTGGATTATGGGCTATTGTACACACGTTTTTAATTGCCAGCAGGGTATTGAGTAATCCCCCCAGCCCAAAAGGAGGTGGTAGGTCCAGTAAGTGTGGAAACCCACGCTTCAGGTGACTCCTGAGCTGCTGCTCCTTTCGCTCAAAAAACCACACGGGGACTCCTACACGTGACCCTGGCACTATGACAGGCCTCCCCTTAGATCCACTTGGAGCCATACAGGAAATCCTGGGAACTGGCACTTGAGGCTTGCGTACTAATTCCTTGGCATGGCTTCTGTCACACTCCATGAGGTTGAGAATATTCTGGGATGTGGAGTAAGATGTAGGTGGAAAATGCTTTCACTTGTTAAGACCAAGGAGGAGATCAAGCCTTGTACTCATTGAAAACCTCTTCCTGTGAAAGTGGTCACTAAGGCGGAACAGGACAACATGGGAGGACAGACTGCTGGGTGGATTGCTCTGTCTGAAAGAAAAAAAAAAAGCGAAATATACTGTAGGTGGTCAGGTTCCACGGAAGTGTATCCCCTAGGGCTAAGAAAGCAGGAATGCGGAAAGCTTGTTTCATCAGCTTGGGGGGGCGGAAAGTAAATACAGTTCCTCAAGCCGAAGGACAGGGTCTAACCACTGTCTAGCCCTGAGGAGGAGGCCCGGTTCAAAGAGATGAAGGAAATGAACGTCAGCATGCGTTCGAACGAGTGACTACAGCAAAGCTAGTGGGCATATGTTCTTCCAGTAGTTCTGGATGATGGTCACATGGCAAGTAAATGTTTTGTTTCTCCTGTACATTTGAACAAACGGGCTCTGCCGGATCTTGGAAGCATCGGACCCAGCTACGAAAATGTAGGAGTCTTTGCCTAGCCATAGCTGAGGGCTGGTCCACAGAGGCACTGCCAGCGGGCACAACGAGAAGGATCATAGGGGTTGGGGGTGGGTAAATCCTCTAAAAATAAGCTATAAAACACAAGCCAGAACAAGGATACGGGCCTAGCTCAGTGTAAGGGTAGACCAGGTCACCACACAGGGAGAAACTCAAGTGGCAATGGTTGAATGATTACAT